ATTAAAACTGAAATACCATCAGCGAAGCCATCTGCTCATCTCTCAAAGCAAATGTGTAACTATTCGTAATGAAAATGCCTCGAACTACCTTAACCATTACTCACTACTTACATCTCAAAGGACATTTATTAAAATGTAAAAATCTACCGTCAGCAATGCTAACTGCTCATCTATCAAAGCACATTCACTATTGTTTGCTATGAAAATGTCTTAAGCTACCGATATCACTGCTCACTGCTCAACTATCAAAGAACATTCACTATTTTTTTCTAAGAAAATGTCTTGAGCTACCGATAGCATTGCTCAGTGCTCATATCTCAAATAACATTTATTATTGTTGTGTAATTAAACAATATTATATCGGTTTCGTCTTTACTTTTAATAGTTAGATAAGGTTGAGAAGCATATTTTCGGGTTCATGGATATGGACACTTAATTTTCTGATAAAAATAGAAAAATATAAAGGTTAATAGATATGGATACTTAATTTTCTGATAAAAAGTAAGAAACTGATGAGAAATAATGGTCATATCTCATTCTTATCACCTATTTTGATAACTAGTGTGGTAAGTTGACATATTAAAGAAATAACTGTCTTTTTTCAAAATCACAAAAAATGTTCAAATAAATTTAGATTGTCCATCATATGAAGGAAAGAGATTAAAACGAGTAATGAATTATTGTTGTTTTCAAGGAAATATTTATATATATGAAGTGTTATAACCTGTCAATTTAAAGTTCCTTGTCATATAACATATTTGTTTTGATTGAAACATTGATTGAAATATTTAATGCATTAATTGTTTGCTGATATTTTTACAAATTGATATTATTATGGTAATGATGACATGTTTGATATTGATAATATTTAGTATGTTATATGTGCCTCAGATGTGCTATCATTTTAAACATGTTAAACATCTAACATGCTCTAAATCCATTATTAAAACAATTTAATCCATTTTTGACATCCAAATATTTGAAATATATGGATTTCTGTAGCATAATGTGTCCTTTAAAGTAAAAACATTATTATGTGTTGTGATCATATATTTGTTTTTACATCGTACTTTAAATGCTTACCAATTTTGTATTTAAATATTTATAGAGGTAAGTTAAAATGCAATAACATATGTGAAAAGGCGTTTGATACTTAGAAATTCTTACATGATACTATATAAAGTGATGCCTCTTTATTCCACTATGGGTCAAAAATTTCCAATCTATACAACAACGTTGTAAGATTTGTAACTAAAAGTATATAAATGATTCCAGTCCACTATCTTAAACAAACGTCCTTTATGTACCATTTTCATCTAGTCATTTAAGCGAAAATAACATTGAAGCCAAATGTAATGCAATAAATTGGTAAATGATGCAATGAGACCGTGGCTTTGAAATAAAAACAAATAACTTTTTTAAGCGTTTTACGTACTCTACGATTCTAATTCGAAAGAATTATTGCTCTATTCCGAGGTATTTTGTGTATGTTTTTTTTTTTCAGCTTTCATTTATTGTGTCCTATTGCATTGATTAAAGAATTTTGTTGCTGTCTTTAGTAACGTCATAAGCATGTTTAAGGATTTGAAATTACAGTAACTGTGAAATTTGAATCGATATAAACAAAACATCACTTAAAATAAACAATATACTTAATTATTTTGACTGGACATATTCTTGCTACAATATCCATGTGCTTCTTATCTATTTTTCCTCAACTTATTGCCAATTGAGTGTTCATCAAATCATCGATGGAAAGAACTTCACTAATTTGTTATTTTAATGAAATCTGTTCAAGTTTGAAAAGCAATTCTTGCACAACACTATTTGATCTTTTACAACTTGATGGCCATATTTATGTGAATTCTCTCTTTAAAAATCAAAGGTCACATAGAATAGAGTTTTTGGTTTTTATTTTGGATTCTTATTTACTTTATATAAGACTTATTGTATCATCTTTGTATTTATTGAAGCATTTTGTTCACGTCTTAAGTCTGCAATTCTCTTGTAATTTTGTTATGATTAATGCTTCCGATGAATCACGTTGTTTCCAGATTTTTATACTTAACAACAACAGGTGTCAAGTGCTGTGTTGCAGCTGTAAAAAGTTGTTCCGTACTTCACTTCAGTGTTGTTATATTTTTCAGGTCATTCGGGATCATTGATGCCAGCACTATTAATGTTGAGAATTGAGTATCGCTCAAGCCGGTGCTAGATTGCGTGAGGGATGTTGCACTTTTTCATTATCTCTCATGTACAGACTCAATAAAACCGAGTCTGCAATTCTCTTGTAATTTTGTTGTGATTAATGCTTCCGAGGGATCACTTTGTTTCCAGATTTTTTTTGTCAATAAAACATAGTATTATAATGACAATTTTACATTAAGCAAAGAAAGCTTTTAAAGGAAGCACAAAAATGAGTTTTGATTTATCAAGACGAATAAAAGTTTAGTATCGTGAAAGGTATCAAGTTCGAATTAAACCGCCGGCGTTATTAAAGACAGCTCTTATGTTAAGAGCACAATACGACAGTAAAATGCAATAACACTGAGAAAATGCATCTGTTAGTTCAATATTCCAGAAACATTAGCTCTACAGCCTCGATGACCATTAATTAAGATCGCAGCAGTAAGAAAAGGGAATCTGTAAATGCTTAAATTGCTATCAGTTAACAAAAGCATCTTTGCGAAATTCAGACAAATATAAAATGTAAATTCAAAGAAGACACAAACTATTAAAAATAATGATAATCTGTAAAGTAAATGGGCACTCGACATGAAATGAATGAAATTATAGTGTCAAAAATCGTTTGATGAAAAGAATAACGATATTGACACTGAGGAAAGACATACGGTAATTGATAGACAAATGTACATCGTAGAATAAATTAACCACCACAAAACTCTTAGATACCTAAATCGATTTAAAAAAGTAATTTGCGTAAATCATTTGATATTACACACGAAAAGTATTACTCAGAAAATAGCTCAAGTGAGTGCATTATAACATTCTATATAGTATAGTATGGTAACAGATCGAAATAGTCAATAATGCAGAAACTGGCCAACTTAACAACATCAATTTGACATTGCAAATGTTTGGTTCAACATTTACGTCGGTAGTTATAAACAGGAAACAAAACTTACCTTCAGGGTTATTCAAAATCATTCAAGTGCAAGCCGTTGTTTCCTTAAAATAGCTCAGTACTGTTTTCAAATGAAGATGAGATGTAAACAATGGTGATTGTTTTAAAATATTTTTATTATATTAACAATACATGTGTGTACACAAATGTACAATGTATAGACTTACAGTAATGAAATAAAAGTATTGTTTTCTTCAAACAAGATATAGCAAATAGAAATGGTCACGATATATTTCTTTCTAAAATTTATTATAACATTATAATTTCAGTGACAGTTTGACTGACAAAATGACTTACTTTACGTCTGTTAATTTAAATGGGGCTTGAGTTGAATTGTCAGGGGTGAAGTATCTTGTCCACTCCCCACCCCCCAGAAAAAAAAATGTTATTCTTGTCTTTCACCGTTTTGTGAAAAAAATACACTACATATAAGCGAAACATATAAATGGAAACATATAAGTGCAAATTCATAAATATTATACAGAACACTGTATCATTATCTTGAGATAAATGCAAATACAATGAAACTTATTCCTAATTATACATTTTGAAGATTTTGTTACACAAAATCGGGTTTTATTTTATCTTTTATTTTATCTTTATGTTCATATAACTCATTATGTATGTGCAGCAAATAGGCCCCATATAAGTTTAAAAAAAACTTGAAAACCCTTCTTCCATAGGTACATGTGCTGTTTCCCACAAAAGAGATGCAAAGCCAGGCACAATTGAAAATAACAAAAATATGTTTCACTACAATGAAAAATAAATACATTTTTACAGTAAAATACAGAAAATAAAAAAGTACCCATTTTATTTCTTCAATATTTCATAATATTTCATTTATAAGTATATAATAAATTGAAGGTAGCTTAAAAATCAATTGCATCTTGTAGATTATGGCCTAACCAGTTACACAATTTTAATGAAATTTGTGTTTTTTTTTTGTGTCGCCCGCCTTGAAAAGGTGACATATAGGGGTACTTTGTTTAGTTTTAAAACTGCCCTGTATCATCTAGCTGCAATTGTCATAAATTTCGTTTTTATTTAATGAAAATATGCAAGGCCTCAGCATTTGGTGTAGAATTTCATACAATATAATAATTTGTTGTATCAGCTGACATATATTACCAGATATTCTCATAATATGCAGTACTTATGGGTTTATGTGTTTATAAGTTTTGTTCAGTGTATATATCTTACAAGAAAACTTTACACATTGCTCACTATTCACTATTAAACAGAATGTGACATCATTTGTTTATTTTCAGCTTCTGGTCACATTGAGATACTTGGCAAAGGGAGATTTTTTTCAGTGAGACTGGGGATCTACATGGAGTTAGTAGGAGTTCAGTGAGCAGACATGTATTGCAAGTAAGCACAAATTTTGTCTAATCAGTTGCCCTGATAATTATTGATAATGTTGATTTATATGTATGATTAACTACTATCAATTACCAAATGAATTAATTGAATTGTTGAGTCATCATTTTGAAGGGTGCTGTCCATCTATACTGGATGTTGGCACAACATCTTTTCTTAAAGTGTTATGCACAATGTTTGTGCAACAATATATATAACCTATCAAATAGCAAAATGTTTTTTTCACATTCAAAGTGAAAACCGAATCTGCAAGAACAAATTTTAAAATCATAAAAAGTATTACTTTGAAATTTTATGAATAACTTTATGATTATATTACTGAGGCCAATGACTCATATATATACTTTTTTGGCTGACATGTTAGTTTGTGAACTAAGAAAAACTTGGATAACTTAGGTAAGTAACATAATTTTCAAGACCTGAAGGTGCATGTATATTTACTTTAAATGTAATTAATTGCTTAATTTTGCAGGTTGTGAATTCAATCAATGAAAGACTGGAAAACATAAAGTTCCCAACTTCATTAGCAGATATTTCAAATGTGAAGAGAGGATTTTACAAGGTGGCAGGTTTGCCTAATTTTGTTGGTGCTGTGGATGGGACTTTGATCCCAATCATAGCACCAGCAGGATTAGAGGAACCTGCCTTTGTTTGTAGAAAGGGATACCATGCCCTTAATGTCCACGCTGTTGTCGACCATAACATGAGGTAACCAATTTGCAATAGATTTTTTTTTCTTCCGTATTTGCAATGAAAATTATTTAATTTATTTAAACATTTACAATTCTTTTGACTGAATGGTTATCAGAAAGAATAGGTATTAACATCTACTTTTTCAAATGCTGTAAACTGTCTTTTACTAGTAGGCTACTTAAATTATTATTTTTGATTAGTAAAATATTCTCTTTATCTGCCTTTATTAGAATTATTCACTTCACTATCTTATGAACTTTTGTTTGTTTGTTTGATTTGGGTTTTACCTCACACCAACACTATATAGGTCATTTGGCGACGTTCCTCCTTTACTGGTGGAGGAAGAAGACCTCATGTGCCTCTCGAACGGGCACCTGAGTACAACCACCAACGTTCCGTAAGCCAGCTGGATAGCTTCCTCACATGAAAGAATCCAAAGTCCCTGTTGGGATTCGAACCCACAGCGGTGAGGGCCAAGTGGACCGTAACCACTCGGCCACGGACGCCCCAATCTTACGAACTAAATTTTAGATGGAAGTAATGTAAAACAATTACATTTTTTTATAGGTTCACCGATGTTGTTGCTCGCTGGCCTGGGTCCACACATGATGCCACTATCTTTCATATGTGCAGTCTCAGGCAGCATTTAGAAAATAACAATCTGGGTTGGTTATTAGGGGATTCTGGTTATCCTCTTCGCCCTTATTTGATGACTCCAAAGGTATTGACAACATTTATAACTGATAATTTTGCCAAAGCTATTTTTGCTCTGGAAAAAACTGAGGAAGTGGATAGTTTGAAATTCTCTTTGCTAGTTATTAGTACAGACTTGAATGAGTTTTCACCTCATGTTGCCCCTATTAATGACAGCTATTCCAAACACACAAAAAAAAAACAACAACATCTTGTAACATATAAATCTTCATTTTTTCCATCATAAATTTATATCATAAAAACAATAACAATATCTTGAAACATATTAATCTTCATTTTTTCCATCATAAATTTATAGCATAAAAACAATAACAATATCTTGAAACATATTAATCTTCATTTTTTCCATCATAATTTTATAGCATAAAAACAATAACAATATCTTGAAACATATTAATCTTCATTTTTTTCCATCATAAATTTATGGCATAAAAACAATAAAAATATCTTGAAACATATTAATCTTCATTTTTTCCATCATAAATTTATAGCATAAAAACAATAACAATATCTTGAAACATATTAATCTTCATTTTTTCCATCATAAATTTATATCATAAAAACAATAACAATATCTTGTAACATATTAATCTTCATTTTTTCCATCATAAATGTATAGCATAAAACAACAACAATAAACAAGAAAGAATTTGGTGAATACAAACAAATAATAGAATAATGTTCAAGTGCTTGGCTGGCTATCAAGATTTTTAATCAGTTTGTATAATCATGGCATTTGAAATTTCTATATATCATATTAAACAGGAACATACTTTATTTGAGATTTGGTTTTCATATTAAAGCTTGTTGTCATAGAAAGGACTGATTGTGAAATATTTTGTCTTAGTTTATACAGTTGTTGAAATTTATTATTTCAATTAAAGATCAACCCTGGATCAGTTAAGGAGGAGAGGTACAACAAAGCTCATAGCCAGACAAGGATGGTGGTGGAAAGAGCATTTGGAATGTTGAAGTCAAGATTTAGGTATTTTGCCATGCATGCACTTGAATGTATGATACTAAGTTTTATAATATGTTACATAATTGGATGACACCAATTTTGAAAGACTCAACTATGTTTATTATACAAATCATATAAAGACTTCTGTAAGTTTACAAAGTAATTTTCAGTTTCAATAAAATAAAGGTTATTTGCTGTTTTATTTTTTGTTGGCACCAACAGTTTCTGTTAAACATATGTACATACATGCTACTGTTTTTATAGGGACCATAAAAATGGAAACCCTTCAAAATTTGTACCACAATATATTACGAATATATTATAACTTAGAACGTAAAGGAATTATAAATTGATCATTTATCAGTGATCTTCTGAAACTCATTCATTAAGATCAGTCCGACTCATTTTTTACAATTCATAATGATTCTTAATTTTTTTCAGGTTTTTACACAAAACAGGAGGTTGTCTGCCCTTCACACCAGAGAAGTCTGCCAGAATTGTCAGTGTCTGCTGTAAGCTTCACAATGTTTGTTTGGAAAGAAACTTTCCTTTAATAGGAGATATATTGATTGATGATACTTTGAATAATGATGATGTAGTTACAATATCTCAGAGTATTCAAACTGGAATTAATGCCAGGGCTACCCTTATTGATCTTTTTTAAGTTTAAGCCTGACCTTTTTCTTTGAAAAAAAAAATAGAGGTATTATTACAGTCATGTTGGCGTTTCTGCTGCTGTCCACAAACTTTAACATTGATCATAACTTTATTTATGTTATATAAATATAAATGGTGATTGTTTCGTCTGCTCTGTAACTTCCAAATACGTGAAAGTTTCAATTTCTATTTAAAAATTTAAAGTCACCATAGATGGACAATGTGTTTTGAACAAGACACAGGTTTCATTGTCTATCTTCAAGTTCACTGCTGGGGTTCGACCTTTGTCAATTTTTACCACCACACTTACCATGTAATAGGTGGTTTATAAATAGAGGATATTGAATGAGTGTAAGTTCAATACTGAATTTTTTGCACGAGTTGAATAAAATTGTATTATGCGAGACTCTGACGAGCATATTATTTTATTCAACAAGTGCAATAATTTCAGTGATGAACATTACACTAATTAAATATTCTATTTATCACATACCCAAATTTAATTAACAAAATGTAGCTGTTTCTTTTTGTTATAAAATTAATTAAATTCAGCTTTAAAGATTTGTTTAAACCATTTCTAAAAAGTTAAAAGTTGAGCATTGCGCCTGTCCAACGGAGGTTCTTGTTGAAATGTGTTTTATATAGTTTACATAATATTGCCAGGTTATATGACTGTGCTATCCATGTTTAACATCTAAAGTTTGAATGAAATTATATCAAAAGTTTTAAAGTTTTGAAAGACTTGTCCTTAAAAAAATGGTATTTGTTACTCATATAACAGCACTGGATACTTTTTCTATTAACGTATTGATAGGAAAATACATACATAAGTTTAAAGTTAAGAATTTTCTAGCATTGTCAAATAATAATGTATATTTAACAATCGTGTAACTTATTCTTAACATTTTACAAATTAAATTGGAATATATAGATAATAAGAGAGTTACTAATTGGGTAACAAGTTACCTACAAGTGTAAGACTTCATGTAACCAATTTCAAATGATGAATTCTAACATGACCTGAATGTTTCCTAATGAACTGTTGAACAAGAAAGCACCGAAAGTGTTTGTAAAAATGCAATCACTTCATTTAGACTACCAAACTAGTTATAAAAACTTTGACAGGTTATATGGCCCTATATAAATTGTTGTTTGAAAACATAACATGAGCCGCTAGGCGAGGGTGATATTTACAAACAAGCGTTCATATACAGCCATATAACCTGTCAGAAATATTTATAACAAATTTATAATACAGCAAGCATCATTTTTAGAGGAATAAAGCGAGATTTTTTTAAAAATCAACAGCAGCCGTGTATATAAAACTATATAAATGCTACGATTATCCAATGAAAAGCGACATTACAAACACAGTATTATAAATGTTATGTAATCACAAAATGTGACACGTGGGAAAAAGTAAAGAAACAAAAATTTAGCTTGATTTAAGGTATAGCACCATGTTTAAGTTAATGTCATGTTAGAATCAAAATAATATATCCCAATCAGTGATTTTATTGCTTTATAAAATCACTGTTTGATATCCGGATGTGCAGCATGTTATTACAAGAGCTGTGCCTTCTTTATATAATCTCTGGCATCCGAAATTAGATCAATAATTTTAATTTAGCTGTAAAATCACTGCTTGGAATATATCATTTCTTTAGTTCACTATATTTCTTTAATTTGCACTGTCCTTCCTAAGTATATGATTTTATGACTGCATTTTGTATTTGGAAAATGTATAGTTTGATTTATTTCATGCTTTCCAGTGTTTTATTGTAATATATCAGATGATTATATTCCGATAAACCACTAGTGAAATTTATAAAATATAATTTTCACTGTAGCCAGACTATATCTGAATGCAAATGAAAAAAAAACTAAATGGAATAACAGGCAGAAATAAATGCCGTCATACGTAAATTTGTTTCTTTAGGAAAAGAAAGTCGATGTCTTCATACATCATGTTAAAAAATGTAAAAAAATTAGAGAAATTTAACTATTTCAAAATTGATGACGTGACGTCATGATGTGATGACGTCACAAAGGAGAATGCGGGACGTTACATGGCAAAATCAGTAATAAGATACTTAAAATCACTTAAAAAGCATGAAATAAAAAGAAAATTTATTTGTTTTACATATAAGATTGAAATATATTTCATTCGTGAAAACCAGCTATAATATTTTCAATCGTGGCTACGCCACTCGTGAAAATATTGCATCTGGTGTTCACTCAGTGAAATTATATTTCAATTTTACATGCAAAACAAACAGATATCCTCTATATTTAAAGTTCAAGGAGGTTATCAATGCTACTTTTGTATGCAATAATGTCAGTCAGACGCTTCAATTCCTTTGAAATTGCCCCAAGATTTTCATTTTGTTGCTTTTGCGTGTTGAGAATTTCTTCTAGAAATTTGCATTTCTTCCTTTCAATATCCAGAAGTTCTTGATATTTATCTGTAATTGAAATAAAATATTGTAATAATTATAAAAATGTACTTAATGAAAATATTATTTTTGATAGTTTTCTTTCTGCTTTTTTTTTTTTTTTTTTTTTTTGTTTTTTTTTTTTTTTTTGTTTTTTTTTTGTTTTTTTTTTTTTTTTTGGGGGGGGTTATAATTATATCATAGTTATCAAATCTCAGCAAAGGCTTGCTTTGTAGCCATTTCTTGAACCTGTTTTTTAAATTTTACATTTTATGCAGCTACTATCTATATTATCATCTGGAAGCCTTGCCGGATAAACTTATTTTAATTCCAGTCATTATGTCATAACTATGATGACCTCACATGGTAAATAGAAAAACAAGACAAAATTTCATCAGGGAAAGATTGAAATCTTTTACTAGTAAATTGTCTAAAAACATGATCAAAAGCAGGATAACTCAAATACATGCTCGGTGTCGAAGCTCTCCAAGATACACTTTCTCGCTCAACGGATAAACCATCTCTATCAAAACATCAACAATGTATTCTTTATATATGGTCATTCATATGAGATTCTATGTATTTCATATGGTTTGAAACCAGTTGATTTGTATGTCTAAGTGGGGCGGGAAATAAGGTCTCTGCTGTCAAAATAGTGCAAATTGTGATACAAGCATGAAACTTTCAGGAAATTATCTTTAGACCATGTAGATTTCAAAAGTGAAGTGGGCCCAAAAATATCTCTGCTCATTCAAGATGGCCGCCATTTTCAAGATGGCCGCCATATAAATTTGATGTACATAATAGATCATTCATTCCAAATTTTTGTACAGGCCTGAAACTTACACCAAAGCATGCATATAGTTTCCCTTTTTCAAAAATTTAAATCTTCAAGCATTTTCTCTTGCAAATTTCTTCAGAATCCAAGATGGCGTCCAATATGGCTGCCAATCTAAATGAAAACTGATATATCTCTTTTGTAGTATAAATTTTTGCACACGGTATGCGTATTTCCATATAAAATTGTGAAATATTTTAGAAAAAAATCAAATTTTAGGTTAACCACATTGTTAGTCATGTTTTTATTTTTTTTTTGTACAAAAAAAAAACTTTAAAAAAAAATCAAAGAAAAAGTGCCCTTTTTTCATTTTTCTCTAACATGGTATTCTAGGTCTATGTACAAAATTCCAAAAGTTACATAGTTTCTTAAAGTGTATTTGATATTCAATCAACACTATGTTTTATTGTATAATTGTAACAAAAACAAACAAAAATGTGAAGGTTTTATACTTATTAAAAGTGGGTGGGGTAAATTTATCAGACAATTGTAGTACAAAATAACGTTTTTTAAGAATTCTTATGCAAATATTCACTGTAAAAGTATTTTATTGTATTAAGATAGTTTTGTTTTCCTTCAGGTCTAGAGGGTGTACTAAAGTATCAATAAATGCAGATACAATCATATGTATACATTCAGTTATTAAATGTGTTTGCATGATATAAGTTGTTTCAATAGTCATATTATAACTTGATAATTGTACAGAAAGAAGACTGAATATTCATCAACGAACCATATGTTAGATAAAATCATGCCTGGACCTTAGTGAAATGTTGTCTATTTATGAATACAATTATTTCCTGCACAATTTAGTCTAAAAGCTTGTAAAAGAATGATTCAAAGTTATATTTACTTGCACATCATTGTAACCAAGTATAATTGAATAAGTACCGTCCATTTCTAATAACTTATGTAGACATGATATTTTCAAAAGAAACAAAAAATTAGGCGACTGATACATCATATTATATTATAACTAGATGTGCTAAAATAGGTATCAATAAAACCGCTTGACCCACATAACAAACATACTTTATACTTTGGAATATAAACTAAATGTATTCCTACTTTATTTTTCCCATAAAACAAGAGAGCATTGTTGACCCTAGATCACGCACCTAAGACCCACTGCTGGAAAAGATCTATAATTCTTTTATACTGAAGAATGCTAAAACCATATATTAAGGACTATCTTATTCCACCAGTCATGATTTAAAGAATCATGTCCAATAACTAGGCTCTCAGAACTACAAGAAGACTCATATAACTATATTCCAATAAAAGTCCGTGTAAACTAAGTGATTGTGACCCTATGCCAAAAGTTTATAATCTTTATATAGCATCACAATGTTATGATATACAATATTTTCTCTTCTCTGTGCACATGGTTTCGGAGAAGAATTTTAATATATAAGTCAATGTAAACTAAGTGAAAGGGAAAGCCATTTTGGACTGCAGGAACATGATTTAAAGGCCCTCACGAGGAACACAGTTTTTAAAGACTTGTGTAGGGAATCGCATTGAAGTTGTTTTGTTGTTGATGTTATTAAAAAAAATCAACAAACAAACAAACTGTAATGCCTAGAGCTTATATAGTCAAAATATAACCTTGCCAAGTAAAGAAGACCTCTTTAAAAGTTACATAAAACACTTTTGTATCATTAAGTGTACATGCAATAAAAAAAATCTTCTCAAAAATCAAAATGCATAGAGCACAGGTACTAAGCTGGCATGTAGCACCACCTTGTGTCTTTATTAACACATTTAATGAATCATGCTCATAGAGCCATCTGGGTTCACAGACTTGTATAGGAAAACACATTAAAAACATCTAGTGTTAAACTTCATTGACTTAAAATAAGGTATTTGGGATGTAGACTGATATAACATGCATAAATTTGTATGATGCTATTGCAGTCTAAAATGGTTTTGCAATGGTATCACTTAATTTACAAAGACTACTGTAATAAATCTGTTTTCTCTTAACCTACACTATCCGACGCATATACATTAATCATGTATCATCATAAAAATGTTATAATAATGATATATCATGGACAACATGGTCCAACTTTACCAAACACAAAAGGTCACTAAGTTTATATGGACTCGTATATAGATATGGTTATTAAAGTTCTCTCGTGTGAAATAAAAAATTGAAAGCAGATATTGAGCATGTTTCTTTAAAAGCAACCGGATTCAATTATGACACAAATCATGTGTGTTATGACATAATTGACACTCCCAAAATGATCTTGTTACCTTTTTTCCAACAATGATCTTAGGTGAGTGATCCAGGGTCATCATTACCCTCTTATTGAAAGAAAAAAATAAGATATGATTACTTTAGGAAATACTAGTATACTTAGTTTGTATCTTAACTTTTCAAAAAGTTGCATGCACGCCAGGCCATATCATTGATATATATGTTTCACATCACATACATTTTGTTGGCTTTTAAGCCATGTTT